AGATATGTGAGAAAAACAAGACGTTTATCAGAGTGTGCTCAGCTGTTGCAAGCTGTTGAAAACAAGTCTCTTGTCAGGGTATATGGCCTGAGATGGCTGCAAAGATGATAGCCACTTTCGGCTAGGAGTCAGCTCCCAACAGAGCTTGAGCTCCCAAATCCACAGAACTGGTCTTCATCAGTCATCTCAGCCACTCTCCTTGGACAGATTATCCTCTTATGAGGGGAAAGCTTACATAAAGAGCAATATAACAGTTACCTAGTAGCTCTTTCTCCTATGACTAACTGTGGAATAACATAGTTACTCCATTTATATCAAGAAATTGAAGTTGGCCAGTTTATGTTCTATTCTGTGCAGTTTCCATGAGCTCAAAGAAAAGTCTCTAAAGGAGAAAAACAAACCCAACAATACCCTGGTCTCTCACACTAAAAACTAGAATAGTCCAGGTCAGGGAGAAGGAAAAGGGAGAGGCAGAAATGGGGTTGAGGGGTACCCCTGTGAGTTGTACCAGGACTAGTACAAATCTTTGAAGATTTGTTTGTTTTTCTTAAATAGCTTCTTATAAGTGCCTCAAAAAGACAGGTATCGATGTCTGAGCATGAGCTATATTAAACACCCAGTGTGTCCACAGAGTGCATCAAGCTCTTTACAGATTAGAAAATTGTTCTGTTCTGTACACTGGAATAGGAAGGAGTCAGTCTTTCCTCTCAGGAGAGGCTGTGCCTGTGCTTGAAGTATGCAAGGAATGAGGGCAGTCTTATCGAGGGATATTTGCAGAATAACTCAGGGGTGCCTGGGGTAGCCATGAGGATTTGCTTAACTTATTAACGCGGGTGTTCATTTCCCTTTCCAGGCTCTTCCAGGTGAAATCCCAAGTCAGGGAAGTTTACCTTTAACTTGGTCATTCCAGGAAGGCGTCCAACTGCCCAGCAGTTACAGCACACCTTTAATAGCTAACGCCCCCCAGCAGAACTCCCTGAATGATTGCCTGTCCTTCCCCAAGAGTTATGATTTGGGGGGAACCACTGAGCTGGAAGATCCAACTTCCACCTTAGACTCCACAAAGCTCTATGAGAGATACAAATTCTCCAGCAGTAGGATCTACAGCAGTGAAGACCAGTTTCAGCCTCCTGTCCCTGGGGTATACGGAGATTATGACGACCTGCAAGCTTGGAATAAAAATGCTGCCTTAGGGAGAAATCCTACTGATGACACCTACTACCCATCCTATCCTCTGCCAGCAACCAGCTGGCCCTATGACTACTTCCCCTCTCAGAATTCTTTGGAGCACTTTCCCCAACAGGTTCTATCAGAACCACCTGCAGCCCAACCCAACAGTCATCCCTTGTGGCCCAATCCCGGAGGTGAGCCTTACGAAGAGAAAGTGCCCGTGGATTTCAACAGCTATGTGCCTTCCCTCCCGTACCACCCGCCTCAGCAGGACCCCTTTCTGCTCACCTATGGCTCTCCTCAGCAGCAATATGCACTGCCTGGCAAGAGCAACAAGTGGAATTTTGACGAAGAGATGGCATGCATGGGCTTGGATCACTTCAACAACGAGATGCTCCTAAATCTCTGTTCTCTAAGATAACTCAAAGCTCCCCATCCCCTTCTCCCAATCGTGATTTGTTAAACGGTTTGGCAGAATTATTTTAGAAGATATGTTTCAAGGCTTAGCCTGAGAGGAATGTTGGAATCAATTGTAACAAATAGAAGACAGGCCAGTGTGTTTATCCTTAGTAAGGAATAGAAAGTCACCATGACAGGTGTAATGGCACATGCTTCAAATCACAGCACTCAGGAGACAGAGACAGTTGGATCTTTGTGAGTTCAAGGCCAGTCTAATCTACATAATGAGTTCTAGGAGAGCCAGGACTATGTAGAGAGACCCTGTCTCAACACCTACCCCCACCAAAAAAAAGAAGAAATGAAAGAAAAGAAAGAAAGAAAAAGGGAAAGGGAAAAGGGAAATAAAGAAAATAAAAAGTTTTTTAAAATGCACTTGGTTTGGGAGCAAAATGGTCTCTGATGCCTCTGTCCAAGTGCTGATTCAGCCCCTCAGCAGTGCTGTCTGGAGGGTCTTATTGTGGCTTATGCATGTCAGTTTAGCATTTCATCTATGGTTTTTTTGGGAGCTGAAAATGAAGGAACAGAAAGAAGACAGACGGGTTGTGGACATGTGAAGCTGAATACTTTACCAAAGAAGTGTTTAATATTTTGTTTAGTTTTATTTTTTTTAAATGGGTTTCTAGATCTGTGACTTGTAAAAACAAGAGGCCCGACCTTTTCCTATTTATAAAGAACAGAAAACAAACAGATACAGGAAGAGGAATCCACCTCTCCTTCTTCTCCTCCTGAGTGACTTCCCCTTCCACAAGGGCTAAGATGCTGTTCTATTCATTTTTATCCCTTATGGTGTCTCCATGTCAGATTTGTATATGAGAAATTGTTGTTTAAAAGTCTTTGTGAAGGCCTGGAGGTGCTTAACATGTTGAAGGCCCTGGATTCACTCAGCAACAAATTTCAGCATCAAAGCTTTGTTGGGCATAACAATGCACACCTGTAATCCCAGAACTCAGGGGGCTGAGGTAGACAGATTGTGAGTTCGAGGTCAGCCCAGAGGATGTAGTGCAACCCTTTCTCAAACAAACTTAGAATATTCTTTGTGGACACTAAGATGCATGGCTACAAGGTAGAACATAAACTCAGTGTGTGGTGCTGACCTGGGCTTTTGCCTCAGTACCAAAACCCCAAACAGCTAAATAAGGAACTTTTGTTCCTTAGTTAGCTACTCAGTCCCTATTGTCCACTGAACTACTTTGCAGTAAAGTAGCCCAGCACAAAATCTGGAATGAACCTTGCCATAAGCAAGCGTTTTCAAAATAATCTTTACCATTTGATTTGTAACTAATGTTTGATACAAGAGTCAAAAATAAGTGATGTCTCTTGCTGCTCTGCCCCTCTGCAGTATCCAAGCTTCCTTGTCTATTCCACAGATTAATGACATTTTCTAGAGACATATATATTGTTATACATAAGATATAAAATACATTGTTTTCTATATGTATTGTGTGTCTGTGTGTGTATCTGGTACTGTATCTACTCTGGCTTTTGCCATGTTAGGTTACAATCGAACACTAGATGCTTACAAGCACATGGGAGCTGAGTGGCCTCATTTTCAACGGCACATAGTGATTAATATTATAATTAGATAGTCTCCATTCATAGACATTCACATTGTTTGAATCTAGTAAATGTTTTGGTGTAAATGCAGAAAAATAAATACTTAATTCAGCAGACTTATGCTGCAAACACTTGTATATGCAAAGGCAGGCCAGAAACTAGAACTTGTTCAGGAGCTCCCAAGCCTGCAGTTCCGAACCCACTCCACCCCATGGCCCTTCCTTCTCAAAGCTGATCTCTAGGCTGGCTCTTTGTATCTTTGCTAAGTTTATGTGTGCTTCCACACAACAGTTCAGTTTTGTCTTTTGGAGGGAACTAACAAAACAAACCATTTGATGCATTTTAAAGGGTTGTTAAGGAAGCTGGTGAGATGGTTTAGCAGGTAAGGTTGCTTGCCACTAGGCCTGATGACTTCAGTCCAATCCTTGGAACCCATGTGGAAGACAGAATTAACTCTAGCAAGTTATCCTCTGGCCTCTGCACACTCAGACTTGTGTGCATACACACACAAATACACACACACCAGATATGCAAAGAAATTGTTGAGGTCTGGTCACCTTAAAGAAGAACACAAAAATCATAGTACATAGCTCAGAACATGAGACGGCCCAGTCTGTCTGCCATGTTGCTACTGTACATTCTTTTGGGGAAACAATATACTTTGCAGATTTGACATGGTTTGTTTGACACCTATAGCTGCTTACAAACAATGTCCTTCCAGTCAGGCCTGATTGGAAATCACCTAGGCTGTGAGACGTACATATAGACTTGATGGGGTTTCTTACATCTAGAAGGAATTCCAATTGCATTGACAGAGAAGAAGAACCAATAGCTGCTGGTTAGTTTCTATTAGGTTGAGAGTCTTTTAGGATTTCAAACATTTTTCTCCACTAGACTGAAGTGCCCCTTCATCTCAAACATTTGCTTTAAAAAAAAAACATAATCTTGATATTTATCAATGCAAGAACATGATAAACTACTATCTCTAACACTAAGTCTGATTCCCAACCTTCCCAAAGGCTTCTATTTCTAAACACTCACGTATTCCTCACAATTAGTTCTAGATTTCCAAATAATAAGGTCCCACATCTGTGTTTTCATTTTATGTATCTGTGATATTCTGACTACAGATTAGGGTCTAAGATTTACATAATGGTACCCATCCTATCTTCATCATCTTAACTGTTTAATGGGGTTTTTTGTATCCATGGTGTACTTGATCATTTTATGTAATGAAACCCAACCAAAATCAAGATATAGAAAACTGTCATTTCCCTAAAAACTTTTGCTGGTGTAGGATTACGGAAGAGGTGGACAGATGGCTCGGCAGTTAAGAGTACTGGCTGCTCTTCCAGAGGTCCTGAGTTCAATTCCCAGCAACCACATGGTGGCTTTCAACCATCTGTAATGGGATTTGATGTCGTCTTCTGGTGTGCCTGAAGATAGCAACACTGTACTCACATAAAATAAATAAATCTTTAAAGAAAAAAAAAAAGAGCTAGTTGAACAGCAGTGTTCTACCATAGTGCCTGCCCTGACTCTCTCCGTGATTGACAGAGCTCATAAGCCAAATAAAACAAAAAAAAAGAAAAAGAAAAAGAAAAAAAAGAAAAAGAAAGAAAAAAGTATATACTGCTCTTACAGAGGACCCAAGTTCAAGTCCAGCATCCATCTCAGATGATTTGCAACCTATATACCTCTAGCTCCAGGGGATACTCTTCTGGTCTCAGTGGACACCCTCACTCACATGCAGACATACACATAATTAAAAATCCTCTTAAAAACTTGTTAGAATCTCTGTTCCTCCCTGTTCCAGAGACAGCTGCATCTTCCCCTGCAGTGACAGCCTGGTCTCTTAGACATGATGGTGAAGGTCTGAGTGAATGGACTTGAAGGCCATCCCCATCTTCCAGGAGTGAGATTTGGCTGATGTCAAATGGGGTGATGCTGTTTCTGAGTGTGCTGTGGAATCTACTGGTGTCTTTACTGCCATGGAGAAGGCTGGGTGGAGCCAGAGGGTCATCATCTCTGCCCCGTCTGCCGATGCCCCTGTGTTTGTGATGGTTGTGAACCACGAGAAGTATGACAACTCACACAAGATTTTCAGCAATGCTTCCTGCACCACCAACTGCTTAGCCCCTATAGCCAAGGTCATCCATGACAACTTTGGCATCATGGAAGGACTCATGACCATGGTCCATGCCATCACTGTCACTCAGAAGATTGTGGATGGCCCCTCTGGAAAGCTGTGGTGTGATGACCATGAGACTGCCCAGAACATCTTCTCTTCATCCACTGGTGCTGCCAAGGCTGTGGACAAGATCGTCCCAGAGCTGCACAGGAAGCTCACTGGGATGGCCTTCTGTGTTCTTACTCCCCAAAGTGTCAGTGTGGATCTGACATGGCATCTTGAGAAATCTGCCAAGTATGATATCAAGGTGGTGGTGAAGCAGGCATCTGAGGGACCACTAAAAGGCATCCTGATCTACACACACAGACACACATAGATGCATACAGAGATACACACAAAGACACACAGATACATACACAGATATAAAGAGAAACACATAGATGAATACACAGATATTTCCATGAAATATATAGATGGACACACAGAAACACACATAGATTAATACAGACACACACAGAGATACACACACATACACATAGATAAACAGAGTCAGACACATACATATATGCTTATACACACACACACACACACACACACACACACACACACAGACACACACTGAAGCCACATTCACAGAGGCAGCAAGGAAGAGATGAATCTGAAGCTTAACTCCATAAAAAATACTTGGGCCGGGTGGTGGTGGCGCACACCTTTAAACCCAGCACTTGGGAGGCAGAGGCAGGCGGATTTCTGAGTTCGAGACAGAGCAGGTTGTGCTTATAGATGAGGGGAAGAGAGGTATATAACAATAATTAATAAAGCAAAGGGGTCATAAATTTGAAAGAGAGCAAGGATGGGTATATGGGAGGCTCTGACGGGGGAAAGGAAAGGGAAAATGGTGTATTATAATCTCAAAAATAAAATAGGGCAAGCCATGGTGGTACATGTGTTTAATCTCAGCACGTGGGAAGCAGAGGCAGGAGGTACTCTGTGAGTTCAAGGACAGCCTAGTCTTGAGTTCCAAGACCTTGAGTGAGTTCCAAGAAAGCCAGAGTTACATGGTAAGACCCTGTCTTAATAACAATAATTATTATATATGTTATATTATTTTTTAAAAAATGCATTTCCTCACCACCTCCATGAGGATAGTTAACCAATTAACAATGTCTAAGGCAGTGCTCTCAATCTGTGGGGTGCAACCCCTTTGGGGGTCGAATATCAGATACCCTGCATATGAGATATTTATATTACAATTAATGATAGTAGCAAAATTAGAGTTATAAAGTAGCAATGAAATACTTTTATGG